TTCTAGAGAGACTGGCTGTCCCTTCTGTTCGTCTATAGAAAACCCCTGGGCATGAAGTCTTTTTACTAAAGAGACTTTGTAGCCCTTTAGCTTCTTTATACAAACTCCCAAGACTTTTAGCTCGTCAATAGAGAAAACATTCCCTCGATCTTGTCTATACGGATTCCATGATCCTTCAGATCAGCTCAGCTTTAGATACCCTATGACCTTTCAGGTCGCCTTTAGACAAGGTTGGCACTAAAACTCATCTATGGGGACATTTGTCCTTCAGCTTGTTTATGCAGATTCCATGGCCATTCAACTTGGCTATAGAGACTCTATGACTCTTAAGCTCGACTATGAAGACATCATGGCCCTTCATGTCGTCTGTGGACTCAATGGCCGTTTATATTGTCTATAGAGACTTCCTGACCTTAGTTTATATGCAGAAACATCCTGGGCCTTTAGCTCGACTATGTAGACTCTCTGTTCCTTTAGCTCGTCTGTAGTCTGGTTGACTCTTCAGTTTTTATTTATTTTTTTCTTATTTTTTATTTATTTATTTTTTTTTTTTTTGTAGAGACTTGGAGTAATGTTGTTTTATTCAACTTTATAAAAATAAATATTTATTTTTATAGAAAACAAAACACCTCTTAAAAAGATATCATTAATTATCCCAGCATAGAAAAAAAAACGCCAGCAAATTCGCCTTGATTTATGACAACAACATCTAATTATAACACAATTTGCATATCTCTTTACAACCGCATAGCAATTCCCCTTCCAAAGTTTTGATGCATTTCTCATGAATTAACATGTCATGTTAATGAAGACAAGACGGCAACAAAAAAAAAACATAGCCTTAGAAAAAAATGAAAAACAAATTATTTTTCTTTCACTATTCACAACAACAACACAGCACACAATTATATTTTCATTTGAAGAATTTTTACAAAACTTTTTGGCGCCCTCTTAAATAGCAGCAGCAACAACGCCAACAACTAACAAAGTGAACAACTTACAATGTTTACAGCCATAGGACGGAATACGTCTTCTATGAAAGCAAAATGAAAAAAAAAAACCCAAGTGCAAAGAAATCGTCGAAAAATAGTGGTGTGAATAAAAAAAAACTTTCCAATTTAATTTATAATAAAAAGGAACGGAAAAGAAATGGCAACAAATCTGTTTATATTTATTTTCAAGTTGTTTATATGTGAGGAGTCTGAAACAGCAACAAAAAAAAGTTGCAACAACAAACAGACAGTCGTCCAACCAAAACAGCTCGCTTGGCGACGGCAGCAGGAAGACAGTCAAATGATATAAGGAAAACGTAGTGCACACACGTAAATAAAATACCACTACCATCACCACCACCACTACCAAGAGCAGAACACAACCACAGCAACAGAACAGGCAAAACAAGCAAACAACAATGACAACAACTTCAAATAAAATATAACATAAATCTTTGCTCTATGAAGGCAAAAGTAAAAGAACCGTCAAGAAAGAAGAGAAAAACATATTTTGTATTGCAGAAAAATATCTTTAAACGAGGAAAAAGTTTTTCTTGTTTTGTAGTTCACAGATAGTTTGCACACTCACACATATGGCCATGATTGCAACACATGACCCCAAATAAAATTTCGCCAGGATATCAAATGAGCATGAAATTTCAACAAGGCGTAAAGGTTACAAAGAAATAAATTGGGAATTGTTTAAAAACTATATTATTGACGAATGTATACGTTGTTGAAATGGAAATGTTTTTCTTAAACACTGTATTCCATCGACGTGGTAAAATTGCATCGAATTCTAATACCCTTTTAGAAGGTTTTCTAAGTTTGAAAAGCTTTTTAAGAATGTTTGTGTGAGGTGGTGGAAGGAGTCGGTGTTGTTTCCAGATTGCCTAATGTTTGTCAAAGACCCCCAAGATCGCAGGACTAACTCCTCTTGGCAGAAATTGCAGTATTTCTTACTAAACATTCAGTTCCCAGAATTTGAAGATGAGATGAAAAAACTGCAACCAACTTCAGACTGCTGTCATTTCTCGTCCGACAGCTGTTAAAATTATTCCAGTGACAGCTCATTATATTTTTTACAAGCGTACAAACGCATTTTGGTGAGCATTTTTCAGAAAAAAAATTATTCGTAATAGAATTCAAGAGTGATAGTGTGATTTTTTATATTTGGCTGAAAATAACAAGTGGCTATCGTTAGAGCACTCCAGCATTTAAATGTGAATAAATCTTTTTTGTCTCGTACCATCGCTCGTAATACTAGTAGCGTAGGCCGACGCCAAGAAAGTGGACGGCAGAAAACAGCAACATCAGTAGAAATGGATCGAAAAGTAAAGAAACGACTTGATCGAAACCCGCGTCGCAGTGGACGAAAATTGGTTCCATTCGGCAAATAGTGAGAAATGAGCTCGGGGTAAAGCCATCGAAATTCCAAAAAGTGCAAGATCTTACACCGCAACAGAAAGAAAATAGACTCAAAAGAGCTAAAGACTTGCTTCGCTTGGCCGAAAGTGGTGAACTGCCAAATTTAGTTTTTTCCGATGAGAAAACATTCGTTGTCCAGCAGTTTGTAAACAAACAAAATGATTGCGTATACTTGCCAGCTGAAATGTGCACCTTCTGCAGGCAGGTCAAGTTCGAAGATGGACTATATTGGTCTACGATATCGTCTAGCCCTAATACTACAGTTTTTTACGATTTTAGCCACATTTTTCAATGGAATTGTCTGAAATTTTACACAAGGAGTTTTTTGTGGGTACTTTACCCCCGGAAAGAGAAATGTCTATATCGGTCCCTAATATCACATATCCCCCATATAACGGTACCTTCCGATATTCGGTATTTGGATGATTTTAGCCACATGTTTCAATGGAATTGTATGAAAATTCGCAAAAAAAGTTCCTTGTATGTACATCAACCCTTAAAGAAAATTGTCTATATCGGTCCACGATATCGTATAGCCCCTAAATAAAGGTACCCCCCGATATTCGCTACTTTTTATGATTTCAGCCAAATTTTTCAATGACGTCGGCAAAAGGAGTTCCTCGTGATTACATTAACCCTGGAAGAGAATTGTCTATATAGGTCCACGATATCATATATCCTCTATATAACGGTTCCTCCCGATATTCTGTATTTTTTGATTATTTAATGATTTTAGCTACATTTTTCAGCGGAATTGTCTGAAAATCCGCAAAAAGAGTTGTCTATATAGGTCCACGATATCATATATCCCCCATATTAGGCCCCCAACCCCCATATTCGGTATTTTGATGATTTTAGACACATTTTTTAATGGAATTGTCTTAAAATCCACATAAGGGGTTCCTTCTGAGTATATTACTTCCTAGAAGAGAATTGTCTAAATAGGCCCACGTTTTAGTTTAACGCCCATATAACGGTACCTCCAGATATTCGGTATTTGTATGATTTTTGCGACATTATTGTTTCAAATTTCGTATATAAAGTTCGGAACCGTTAATACAGCCTATGACTCACATTACTTATGCTGGACCACGTTTGTATAGCCCCCATATTACGGTTTTCATCTGAGGGGTATTTTTCGACGGTTTTTTTTTTTTTTTTTTTTTTTTTTGAAAATTTTCAAGTTTCTTCCAAATGGTGGAGGGCATAAAAAGTTCGAACTTAGCTGATTTTTTACTTGTCTTCTTTACATTGTAAACTTTTAAAAGGTTCTGGATCTTGAAATCCTAAGAGTTATACTATTATTCTATTTTAAGACAGCCTTGCATGAGTTATTATGTTTTATTGAAAAGAATGAGCAGGAATGGTTAAGAAAGTCTACTATGTTTAGAATTTCTTCAGTGGGACTTTTTCCTATTGAAGGTATTTGAATATTTTTTTAATATTATTAAAATAATTTAAATACCTGCCCCACAAAAGGTCAAAATTTTCAAAGATAAAAACTTAAAAAAGGATCATTCGATTTTGTTCAAACTTTGCATATCCCAATATTTTCGCCAGTGCTAGGTCAGATGCGACAATGGACAATATCGGTACACTCCCTCATGTACCTCCAACACAAAGGGTCAAAATATGGAATATTTATATCTCGCATAAGGTGTGGAATCAGCATACTATTCTTTTCACTCATCCCAACATTTTTGATAACACAAAATCTGATGTGAGGATGGGATATATCGGTCTACTCTTTCTTGTACCTCACCCACAAAGTGGTCAAAGTTATTTAGTAATCACGCGGCTGGTCGCATTTATGGCCTGATTCTCATAAAATTTGTCATGTAGTTTGGTAAGGTTCAGAATAGAAGCTGGTTGTTTTTTATGATAGTTGTAAAGTATTTAGAGGTTGAAATGGACTAAAATGGAAAATTTTTCTGATTTTGCAGAAGAAGCTACCTACCTTAAAAATCGAATTGTTTTTTATTTAATTTAATTATCTAAAAAATATATAAGGATCCCACATTTGTGGAGTTGATATTAAATTACTCAATTCCACATAAGACGTATGGTAGGACTCGTCTCTACATTATATAAAAAAGGATTTCCTTTCTCCAGAAAACCCAGAAAATGTTATAACTTTCAACTATTTTTCAACCTTACTCTGTCTGTGAGATACTTTATGGAACTCTACACATACACCCAAAGCACATATAAAATGCGTAGTGTGAAACTATAAATTATGGCACCAAATGCATACAACTTCTAGACGGCATATTTCCCTCCTCCCCTCACAATAACTAGACCAACAAGAATGGCATACCAAAGGAAAAAAAGTAGATTTCCCAATCGCACTAAATCGTATCTAGTAAAAATCATGGAAAAATAAAATACTTGCAATTTATGTTCAAGTAATAAACAAACATATTTAATAATTTTTTCTCTTTATTTATGACTTTTGTGCAGCAGGAAATTGTGCCACAGTACGAAAAATTTAAACTCAAAGAACAGGATGGACCAGAAGCAAAAGAAGAATAAATCGAGAAAAAAATGAAACCTAATGTAAACGATAGGAAAACAACTTACCTCGTTGTGATCTGTAAGAAGAGGATGCGTGTGTAGTATCTGGAGGAGAATGGCATATGTTATTGTAAACTTTTGCGTACGTTTCGTTCGGGGTTTGTGCTCTTTTGCAAAAAAATAAGAAAAAAAAAAAAACATCAAAATCCAATCAAATGTGTATTGTCGGCGTTTTCATATCTGTAAAATAAACAAGAAAATATTTGGATTAGATATCATATTTTAATGGAATTTTGTTTGATACAATTGGTAAACAAGGAATGCAATCGTATGGAATCGGTGCTATGAAGCTGGGGGAGATAAATATTTGCTTAGAAAGGAATGTGGGTAAACAGAAGCAGCAGCAGCAAAATTAATCTAGAAGAAAAAGGGTTAATGGGTTAAAAGGACGTTGGAGACAGAAAAGGAATCAATAACTCCGTTGCCGTGTAAGATTCATATTTCTCGAAATAGTTATTTCTAGAGAATCCTCTTTCGGGACGTAGTGAATGAAACCTGATTGTTTGTTTAACATTTTATAAACGTAACTATTTTCTTAGGTCTGAAGTTGTAATCAAACTTAGGGAAAACAAGTTAAATGGTATCAGTCGTTTTTGCCGACAGATATATACCCTCAGCCAATGTTAGATTATCTAAATATATTTTGACTACTGTTATTATACCCTCCACCATACATTGTATGGAGGCTGTACTAAGTTCGTCATTCGGTTTGTAACTTATCAAAATAATAATTTTAGACATAACAATGTATGTATATTCTTGATCAGCGTAAAATTCTTTGAAGATTTAGCACTGTCCGTCCGTCTGCCCATCTGTTCGTCCGTCTGTTGTAGTCACACTAAAGTCAAAACGAATGAAGATAGGAAGCTACAATTTTGCACAGATCCATCTTTTGTCTGCAGGGAGGTCATGTTCGAAGACGGGCTATATTGGTCCACGATATCGCATAGCCCCCCCCTATTACGGTACCGCCCGATATTTGTTATTTTGATGATTGTAACCATATTTTTCAATGAAATTGTCTGAAAATCCACAAAAGGATTTCCTTCTGAGTACCTTAACCCCTGGAAGGGGGGATTGTAACCATATTTTTCAATGAAATTGTCTGAAAATCCACAAAAGGATTTCCTTCTGAGTACCTTAACCCCTGGCAGAGTATTGTCCATATAGGTTCTCGATATCCCATATAACGGTACCTCCTCATATTCGGTATTTTGATGATTTTTGCTACATTTTTCAATTGAATTTGAATTGTCTAAAAATCTATACTCCATATTTTTCAATTAAATTTGAATTGTCTAAAAATCCATACTAGAATTTTTTTTCCTCCCCCTGGAAGAGAAGTGTTTATATAGTTCTACGATATCGTATGGCCCACATACAACGTATGACCCTCCGATATTCAGTGTTTTGATGATTTTGGCAACATTATTCACCGGTGTTGTTTCAAATTTCGTATTTAGAATTCGTAATGGGTACTACAGCCTATGGCAAAAAATTGCGTATGCAGACCCACGTCTTCGCCTAGCCCACATATAACTGTACCACCCTTTATTCGGCATTTTGGTGATTTTAGCAACATTATTCACCGGAATTTTTTCAACTTTCGTATTTAGAGTTCGTAATACGAACTACAGTCTATGCCAGAAAAATGTCTATACAGGTTTAGGTCTTCGTATAAGTCCCATATACCAGTACCTACCTGGATTCGGAATTTTGACGATTTTAGGTGCAATATTCACCGAAATTGTTTAAAACTTCGTATTTGAAGTTCATAATAGGTATTACAGCTTGTGACAGAAAATTGTCTATGCAGGTCCAGGTCTTCGTATATGCCCATATATCAGTACCTCCCTGGATTTGGTATTTTGAAGGTTTTAGGTACAATTTTCACCGAAATTGTTTGAGATTTGGTATTTGAAGTTCCTTAAAGGTACTACAGCCTGTGACAGAAAATTGCCTATGCAGGTCTAGGTCTTTGTATAGCCCCCATATAACGGAACCTTCCTATATTCGGAATTTTTATGGTTTTAGCTACATTATTCTCCGGATTTTTTTTCAAGCTTCGTATTTGAATATTGTAATGGCTTATGACAAAAGTTGTCTATGTAGGTTCGGTTCGGCCAAAGTTAGTGCTTTTTTACTTGTAATTATTCAAAGTGCTGATCCTCTATGGAGTAGTTTCCGAGGGAATGGACCAATATTTTCCATTTCGTATCCGATCTACATAAATATGATAAAAATATTACGGAGTAGACAAATATATTTCATCTTCACAACAGATCTTGTGTTAGTAGAAACAATGGTATGTGTGAAAAATGAAGAATGAAGAAGAGAACCGAATGTTTATTTCGTATTATGTGATCGTTTTGGTTATACAAAACTTTGACACTTTGTGGGGAGGTACCAGAAGAAATAATCCGATCTGTAAATGGTCCAATCTCTACCATCTTTATAACAGATCTTGTGTTGATGGAAATATTGAGATGTGCCAAGTATGGATGGGATCTTATGTTAATTTTAATGTGGGGAAGGTGTTCATTCATGCATTCATTCATCTTCACACTAGACCTTGGGTTAATAAAAATATTGTGATGTGTGTAATTTGAAGACAATCCAACTCTTACATCACATTTTACAAGAGTTACAAGAGAAAAAAAATCGAAATATTGACCCTTTGTGGGAGAGGAACATAATGGAGTAGACCGATATTTTCCATTTTCGCCTCTGACCTAAAACTGATACAAATATTGGGAGTTGCCAAAATTATCAGATTATCCTTTCTCTTTATGTGCAGTAAAATCATGTTTTGAAATTTCGTTCTTTTTTGGGGAGGTACCAGAAGGAGTGGACCGCTATTGCCCATCTCTGAACTCGATCTAAGTCAGATAATAATATTACGAAGTTTGGACCAAATCGGATACTCCCTTTGAGAGTTATCGTGTGCACCAGCCAGTCAGTCAGACAGACAGACAGATATATCGAACGGATATCGCTAGATCGACTCTAAATATCCTGAAACGGATTTGGTCAAAGAGACCTAGGGTCTATTTCGATTAGGCATGTTTTAGCCCGATCATGATGAACAAAATTTTTTTTTCTGAAGTTGAAAACTAAACCTTGCAGGAAAATCCTCTATCTCTCTACATATTCTTTTCAACATAAAATTGTGGCCGGATATTATTTATTTAGGTGGAATGTACGCTTCCACTTCTTAAAATAATTGTTTCTATAATTAATCAAATTCTCTCAAATTACCCGACTGACACAAAAAATTACGAGAGCCCACAATCGGTAAAAGAAATGCAATCAACGACATGTAATAGAATATTATCCATGGTCCCTTGTAAACAAATTACCAAGAGAATTATGAAAGATGCCGGAAGTGTCACTTAGTTGATAGCAATGCAGACAGACATACATGTGTCCCATATCCCTGACAAAAAAATGAGAAAGAAAAAACTGAAAAATGATCACTGATTACAAATAATCAGTTTAAATTAAGAGTCTTGACAACAACAACAACAACAACACCGACAACGAAAGCAATACATTTACTCAAATGATCTATTGAACATCGAACGGTTGCAATGCATCGGATCAATTTCAAAAAATATCTGTACAACAAGACCGATTGATTGGTTCAATGTATTACTTTCATAGGCGACCAAAACATAAAAAGCAAAAATTGTATTGACTTCGTGTGATAAAGAGAGACAGCACGAGAAGTAACAACAGAAAAAGTCAGAAATAACAACTCTGAGCTGTTGTCAACAACAGATAAGGAATGCAACCGAACCGAAAGGCACATATCTGTATCTAACCATATCCCATTCGCAGAGATAATTATAAATTATTGTTGCTGTTGTAATCGAGTGCAATGCAACAACAGAAGTAGACAACAACACCAAGGGGGAATTGTGTCACATGTCTGATGATGTTGATGATGAAAATACAAAAAGAGTAGATGGAAGAAAAAGTGAAGGTATCAAAAGCTGGCTACACTTGGAGGGTATTAAAAGCTGGCTACACTTGGTACTTGGAGAGACCGGAATAAAATACTTAAAAACAGCAAATGGTCTGTTTGTTTTTTATACACATATATAAAACAACATCTGAAAGTCTCCAAAAAGATTCTTAGGGATTTTTATTTAAGCAATTTATTTAGCTGTGAAGTACCTTTCAAAGGCATTAGTAGCTATAACTATAGAACAAGGTAACTGATAGAAGACCCTGAATACTAGAACTCCCAAAAAGAGCCGTTTATAGCCGAAACGTGTACTGCAGATAGAGACCTAAAAAATTACCCAACATAAACGCCACTGTAGCCGTGTATTAGTCTTCTTTAAAAATCGAGTATCTATGGCTCTACCTTCTGAAGATATATCTAAAGGTCTTGAGAGAATATATTTTCCAGAGCTTTTAAAAGCAATTTTATAACAAGTCAAAAAGCAAATAAGATCGGCAGGAACGAACTTTTAATACACTCCACCATTTGGAAGGAACTGAAAATTTTTTTAACAAATTCCGAAAAATACCGTTTATATGATGAGCTTTATATGGGGGCAATGCGCAGGTGCGGACCTGCAAAAGTAATTTTTTGTCATAGACTGTAGTACCCGTTAAGACCTTCAAAAGCGAAATTTGAAACAATTCCGGCGAATAATGTCGTTAAAATCATCAAACTACCGAATATCGCGAGGTACCCGTTATACGGTGGATATAAAAAGACGTGGACCTGCATACATGCAAATTTGTAGGAATTAGTACCCATTTCAAACTTCGAATACGAAATTTGAAACGATTCGGGTGAATAATGTCGCTAAAATCATCAAAATACCGAATATCGAGAGGTACTGTTATATGGGGGCTATACAAAGACGTGGGCCTGAATACAAAATTCTTAGGCATAGGCTGTGGTACCCATTACAATCTTCGTATACGAAATTTGAAACACTTCGTGTGAATAATGCCGCTAAGATCATCAAACTACCGAATATCGGGAGGTACCGTTATATGGGGCTATACGAAAACGTGAACCGACATGGCCCATCTACGAACTTAACCTGCCTACTGGCAAAATACACTTTTTAGAATTCCATCTCAATTCTTTCGAAAGATAACGTGATTGCAACAGAATGACAGATGGACGGACATTGCTAAATCGTCTTAGAATTTTA